ATCCGCCGGATCCGGATCCTCACTTGACCTTCTTGATCGTCACTCAAACCTTGTGATCTGTACTCTCCAGAGGCCCTTCAATACGTACATACCCAGGATCCGGCATGGTCTTAAGGTTTCATTGCGGATCCGGCTCCGCGTACCCACAAACTTTACGGGTACCGACAAACTTTCCCCACCTGCGGATCCGGGCCTTCCCACTCCGGATCCTCGGTAATGCCTTAATGTCCATATCTCCCAGGTACATATCCACGTATATCCATAGTCATCACTTGACGTCAACTCCGTGCCGGATCCGGATCATCCAGATCCGGATAGGTAGACATCAGTCTGGATAATTTTCTGGTTGCCTTTCCGTCAATCAATCAATCAATCAATCACTTGGTCTTATTCACGTGAAAATCTTGATCGACTTCACCACACACTCGTGAATGGAGTGGTGGGTGAAGTTGATGGTAACATCAGTTTGGACACTTTGCCGTCCTGTAATACTCTGTTAGAGCTGGATGAGATGCCCATGACTGATTTTGGTGATGTCTTAAAGGCTGGCGATTTAGCCGATGTGGTCATGATTCGACCTGAGGAACAACTCAACTCGTCATCGGTGGTTGACGAAGAAGGCGCTGAACGCGCGTAGCGGATCGGAGATCCTCAACGATCGCTCGGATCCATTCCACTCACTATTGGCTGAGTATGATAACGTCGTGTCAAAGACGCCGTCCATGGGGCTACCTCCGAAAAGAGGGGTCCGTCGCGAGATTGACTTGGTTCCAGGAACGAAATACTGCGTAACTCAGTAGTGGCCTCTTCCAAAAGAGTAATGTGACTTCATTGACGTTTTCTTCCGTGCCAAGCACGAGGCTGACTGGTGCGTAAGGGCAAGGGTCCGCATTCCACGCCGGTATTCTGTGTCAGAAAGCCAAATGGCAAGTGGCGCATCGTTCATGCTTTTAACAAGCTGAATGCAACTACGATCCCGGCTCAGACGCCGATCCCTCGCAAGGATGTTCTACAGAGCAACATGGTTGGGTGTATGATGTACAGCGCGCTCGGCCTGGTCGATGGATATTATCAGTTGCTCATGCGAGCTAGTGACATCCCGCTAACCGCTGTTAGTACTCCGAGTGGTATGGTCTGGGAGTGGTTGGTAATGCCCCAAGGGCTGTCAAACGCGCCGGCGAAGTTCAACCTTCTGGTGACGCAGTTGTTTCGGCCCGATAGGGCTTACAATCTTAGCACGGGAGGTCGGCTGTGGAGAACCACGTTGACAATTTGCGAGCGGGGCTCGAGTGCATGCGCACGAACAAATTGTACTCTAATGCGGATAATGGCATTTTCAGTGCGGAAGAGATCCCCTTTCTGGGGTGCTTCATTGAAAAGCGTGGCCTTCGAGCGGATCCCGCTAAAGTTAATGCCATTGGATTGACCGGTTCCTGTGAACCTGAAAGACTTGATGAGGTGGCTTGGCCTTGCCAATTACCTTCATAAGTATAGCGAAAATCACGCTGATATGGCTCGGCCATTGTCGAATCTCCTTAAGAAAGATGACATGTGGTGTTGGAACACCGAGCAGCAAGCTGCATTTGAGGCTATCAAACAAAGCCTGTTACATGGGCCGATACTGGTGTTGCCAGACCCTGGTCGTCCACTTAGTGTCGTCTGTGACGCTTCCGATTTCGCGATCGGTTGTGCTCTTTTGTAAGCTGACGTCGATAGACGTGATCGTGTTATCGCGTTTGAAACTCGGCTGCTCAAGGCCACCGAGAAGAGTTACCCTGTCCATGACAAAGAACTTCTGGCGATGAAGTATGTCCTAGTGAAGTTTAGGGTTCACTTGCTTGGCTTGAAGCCATTTGCGGTTTACACCGATTCCGCTTCGTTGCGTACTGCGACTCAGTCGCCTCACCTCTCCCAGAGAATGGCCCGTTGGCTCTCCTTCTTTGCGGAGTATAACTTCGAGTTGAAGTACAAACCCGACAAGCAGAATGTTTTAGCCGATGCTCTTTCACGTCGACCCAACTATGAGATGGCTCATGGAACGAGCGTGGCTTCGTCGATTACAGAGCTCATCCGAGCTGCGTATGCACACGATGATGCTTGTATATCTTTGCTACGTGCTCTCGGGAGCATTGAGTTTAAGGACTCTGATGTCAAGCTGTCTGTGCGATTGCGCGCGCGATTGATTACACCGCTATTCCCTCGATGGATGTTTGATGTACTACAGCACAGACCTCGTGTGATGGTCCCTCATGATGAAACACAAAGTCCATGAGCATGGACTTTGTGTTTGACCTTCCGAAGGATTCGGATGGCAACACTGGCGTGGTGGTCTTCGTTGATCGATTGAGCAAGATGGCTCGCTTAGAGGCTGTGCCGGATACTATCGACGGCAAGGGTACAGCGACTCTGTATTTGGATCGTGTGGTTCGCCATCACGGACTCCCTGAGTCAATTGTCTCTGACCAAGATCCTCGTTTTACAAGTGACTTTTGACAGAAAGTCTTTGAAGTGCTGGGCACGAAGTTGGATATGTCCATGGCGGACCATCCGCAGACCGATGGTCAAACTGAACGTGCTAATCGTGTTGTCGAAGACATTCTTTGCAGTACCGGCGCGAAGATACCAAAGCGCTGGAGCGCTATGCCCCACTCGTTGAGTTCCCATTAAATATTGCAGTGCATGCGCCCACAGGCTTTACTCCGTTCTATCTGAACAGTATGCGGCACCCGCGCGTGCTGCTGACCCCGTCACGACGTGACTCTGGGCTTGGGGGGGGGGAGAAGCCGACTGGCTGGAAGATATCAGCCCTGCCGCACTGCGGAAACAAATGGATATTTTCTTGTCGGCACGCCTTAGCATATTACGTCACGTACATGACGCGATGGCTGAAAGCCAAGATGTTCAAAAGGAACATGTGGATGCAGAGGCAATTTATGGGACTTTCATGTTGGGGATAAAGGCTAAAAACTTTCCTACCCATGCAGTTTTGACAGACTTCAAGATGAAGCTACATCCTCGCTTCATTGGACCATTCACGGTCGTGGCCAAGAAGGGCATGGCGTACACGCTCGATCTTCCCTCAAAGATGCAAACACACCCCGTGTTTTACGTTGGCTTGGTTAAGCCGTATCGTGATTCGAACTATGTGAGTTCTGAGGAACTAGCTCCCGCGAAGCAATCGCCTGAGGCGTTAATACGGTGCCTGGTCAGAGGCGATCTATGCCGGATAGCCCCTCTGCTGAGGATACGCAGTCTTGGTCGCGTAGACCGTAGGATAAACAACTTGAGGCTGAGTACTCATGCTGACCAACATGTCCAACTGACCACGAAGGTTTTCCAGCTAGCAGCCAGGCCAGTCTCATGCTGGCACGATAGCTCCCCGAGCTAAACCTTCAAGGATCTTACGTCCTCGCCATGGCGGTTCTCAACCGTATCAATCCACTTCTCATCCTCTTCGAGGTGGTGCGCACTCCGGTGAAATTCAGCCCAGTCGGCCGTTGGCCGTCATTCGAAGGATCTTCAGACGTCCTAAAATTCTTTCGAATAACGGCCAACGGCTTGCTCCACAGCGAGAATGCGTTCGGTCGACGCCACGCGCCGATCCAGCAGCGGTTCACCGTCCGCCGGCGTTCCTCGAAGGGCATGGGCAACATCACTACCTCTAGGAGAGGCTGTTGAAGCGCCGTCGGCACAAGGGTCAAAGCCAGAATCTGGTAACGTTGTATGGGATGTTACCATCCTGGGAGTACGAGACTCCACACCGGCAGGTTTGCCTTGACGCCGTGGGCACTTATGATCGGGAACACCCGAAGCGCCCGAACGGATCGAAGGTGCGTCGTCAGACGACTGGCGCTTCCTGGTGCTAGAATGTGTTGACGATATGTCAGAACGAGTGCTCACGTGTCGAGCGCGAGCCGGTGCCGCTGTTGCTCCTTTTAAGCTTTTCTTCAGGTGATTCTGCTGAAAAGGGTCACCGACCTCGAGCTTCGCAAACTTGAAGAGCAAGCGCCGTTCAAGGTAGATATCCCGCTTGCTGAAGCTGGCTCGTAGAACAGGAATTGAAGAAAACTTCCGGGCGCGCTCCACCCAATTCTGGAAACGCGCGTCCGCTTCGTCGAGGTTCTCTCCCGGTCGTAGGACCACAGTAATCGTGTTCATCGCGGGCACGGACTTGCCCCGATATTGGTCGATGAGACGCTGCACGTACTCTTTATTGGTCATGGTCTGTGGAGTCAGGTGGTGCTCGAGGAGCTTATCACGCAGGTCTCTTTGAGAGTCTGTAGTGGCCGGCGGCCCTATGATATAAGACGTCATAAGGCCAGTGGCCGCGTCGTACCTGCTTTGTCCGGTTTGCCCACAAAGCGGTACTCCTGCCGCGCACTCTCTTTGCTCAGGAGCGAACAGGACTCGGGCCGGTGAGGCTGATGGAGCTCTTGCTTCAATTCCAGGCTCTGAGCCTCGTCCAACGGATTGATAATCACGTTGGGCTCGGCAAGCTCTCCTTCCTCGAGTGAGCAGCGTGCCGGAAAGGGATTTGGCACTCGCAACCCTCGGTGCTCTGGTGAACGTGGCTCACATTCACGAGCTGGCGACTCAGCGGGACTATCTTCCGAATAGTCGACCGTAAGAGGGTCATCCAGGTCAAGTTGACCGCTGGGCTGTCTGCGACCTGGTGCCGATGAAGCCACTGGCTTTGTGCCGTGCCGATGCTCGTACTCCTCAAGGTACTTCGCTATGGAGAAGTGACGTTGTGACGTGTCTGGCCTTGACGATGATGCGCTCTCACGCGGTGGCTGTGATCGTTGGTCTGAGGAACCAGGAGCTGCGGGCATGTGTGGATGCCTGGCAACAGAATCGAAAATGGGCTCGTGGAGCGGAATGATTCTGAAGAACTGTCGCAGTGATGGGGAGTGACCTCAACTGGAGGCAAAGTTCCAACGGCTGTGAACGTGGTGTTCGACAGTCTAGATGGGGGAGAGTGTAACGGGATTATACGTGAAGTTACCCTTCTGGTATATCGTACACAGAAGGTTACCTCTGTAGAGGTGAGAGCCCCCAGAGCTACACATTGCTAGAAGTAGTGTTAAGTAGAGCATAGTGAGGTGCAGGTGTTTGCACCGTAAGAGGCTTGGCCGCAAGAATAAAGGTTGGTTTTTGCAAGGAATTGCAAGTGTGGTGAAGTGGATCAAGATTTTCACGTGAATAAGACCAAGT